GGCTCAACTTGGGCTCTGAACAAGTCATATTCTTGCAGGACTGCTTGTCGGGAAACACGGCAGTTTCTGTTTTCACAAATTAATCAAGCCCAGCACCAAATATTACCACGGGTTGTTTGGGACGAGGACGCGTGTCATTGCAGTGGATACCCGGTCAGGAAATTAGTAAACTATTCCGGGAAACGCCAGAATGGAGGTGTCTATGCCCCTGCCTCAGATATATGTAGAAAAACATTTAGCCATTATCAAGCCAGATGTTGTTGACAAAGAAGATGAGATACGCGACATTATTCTCAGATCTGGATTCACCATCATTCAGGTAACTTCTGGCGACTCTTATTAGTTTGCACTATACTTATATAAATGTCCCCACCCATTTATATCTGTAGTAACATTGAATTTACGTTTCTAAATATAAAGGTTGTATGCAATCTGGACAGATAGGCTCATGCCTGTATTCTCCGTACCAGGGAGGTGGAGGCAGGAGGATCAGGAGTTCAGCTATGCAGTGACTTCAAAGTTGACAGATCAGCCACAGCTCTCTGAGATCTGTCCCCAAAACAAACAAGTAACACGTAATAGCTTATTTTTTCACACTTCCAAAAGATACAGAATAATACACAAAAGAAGCCAAATTGCCTTTTCCTTCCCTTAACTTCTCCCAGGGGTTTCTCTGTGTTTGAAAGATTTTCCCCACAAGATGAAGTGATCCTCTCTGACTTCCTCACAGAGTCTCTTTGGCAAAGTTCTGGGTCAATAAATCAGAATCTACTTATCCCTTCTAAGTTATGTGTAATATTCCTGTGCATAGATAAGTTCTCTAGTGTTCGTAGGGTTATTTAAAAAAACGAAATAATAACAAAACCCAAAAACCAGGGTCTCTCTAAGTAGCCCTGATTGTGACTGTTCTGGAACTCACTCTGTAGACCAGGCTGGCCTCAGACTCAGAGATCCACTTGCTCCTGCTTCTGCCTCCTGAGTGCTGGGATTAAAGGTGTGTATGGCCACCACTGCCCAGAAAACATTTAATGTTTTAGATGAATATTTGTCTTGCAGTTTGTAAACATGGTCATGGTGCCAGGCCCTCCAGAGGACATTGAGTGGTCAGCTTGTATTACACAGGGAGTCCTAAACCAGCCAGGGGTACAGAGGACCCAGGGCCTGGAGGTGCTGCTGTAAGCTTGTGATACCATCCATAGGTAGGGTAAGACTGGAGTTCCCTACCATCTTGGCCTTCACAGAGTTTCAAACTGTCCTCTAGTATGATAAGGTCTCCAACTGAAGACAGAATGTATAAATATATCAAATAAAACTTAACATTTTAAATATTTTGTTAAATTTTACTTGAACTACTGGTTTTTTAATCTCTTAAATGTATATAGCTTAGTGTGGTGCTTTTACTCCAAGCACTTGTGAGGCAGAAGCAGGTGTATGTCTGTGAGTTCAAGGCCAGCCTGGTCTACACAATAAGTTTCTGGCCAGCCAGGGCTACATAGTGAGACCCTATCGTAAATGTTTTTTATGTAAAGCCAACTGTAATGGTTCATGCCTTTAATCACAGCACTCGGGAGGCAGAGGTAGGCTTATCTCTGTGAATTTGAAGCTAGCCTGCTCTACAGAGTTCCAGGACAATCAGAGCTACATAGTGAGACCCTGTCTCGAAAAAGCAACAGCAAAAATTATATAGTATCAGATTATCATCATATTATCAATTCTGCCAGTATTTTAAAATAAAGAAAACTGAACTGGAGAGGGGTTTGTGTCACAGTGTTTGCTGAGCAAGCACAAGGACTTGAGTTCGAATCCCCAGTAACCATGTAAAAGGCAGGTGTGGTGGTGGACACCTGTAGGTAATCCCAGTACTGGGGAGGCAGGACAGGAGGACCCTGGAGCTCTTGAGCCCACTAGTCTTGTCAAGTTGGTGATTCAGGTTCAGTGGGAGATCCAAGGTGGTCAGCAACTGAGGCTAGTCTCCAATGTGGGTATCTGGCTCCACATATATGCACCTGCACCCCCACTTATGTGTGTATATACAGACACACACAGACATGCATATCCTACACATACACACACACACAAACACACTCAGAGATGATGTGGGGAAGAATGTTGACAGAGTTGACAACTCTGGTACAAGAAATATTCAGATGAACACAAAGTCTTTAATAAATGTTGTGAAGAAAATTGACTATTTTTATTCTGAGATAACTCTAAATGGATCTAAATATTTAAAAATTAAGCTTGTAAGTGGGGCTAGGGTGTGGCTTAGAGGTAGAGCACAGACCTAACAAGCATGAGGCTTCGGATTCAATCCCCCCTAACAAAAAAACATTAAACTATGTTTGTAACTTCTTCAAGAAGAAAAAGTGCCTAAACAAACAATTGGGGAACAAAGATACTTAAAAACCCAGGTTCTCAGGCTGAGGATGCAGCTCAGCTGGGGGAATGCCTGCCAAGAAATTATGAAACCATGGCTTCCATTGCCAGAACAGTATACAACCTGGAGTTCAGTATTCAGGGAATTGGGGCCAGAGGATCACAAGTTTAAAGAGGTCATCCCCAGCTACATAGTGAGCTTGAGGCTAGCCTGGGCTACATGAGACCCTGAGAGAGAGAGAGAGAGAGAGAGAGAGAGAGAGAGAGAGAGAGAGACAGACAGACAGACACACACACACAAAGAGACAACGAGAGAGAAAGAGATAGACAGACATAGAGAGCGAGACAGAGAGGAGACTCTTGCTATTTAGTTCAGGATGTCCTCCAGCACACAGTGAACACCCTGCCTCTCCTTTATTCAAGTTGGGTCTAAGGTGCTCATCACCTTGTTGTGTTTTGTTTTCTGAGGAGATTTCACTATGTAGCTACTGCTGGCTCCTTAGTGTTGGGATTGCACACAGTGTGCCATTATGCCGGGCTTAATTTTAAATTTTATAAGTTTTTTGTTTTGTTTTTTCAAAAGAAGGGTGGGAATCAAACTCTCACAGTGGTGAGGGAGCCCTGGGTTCTGAATCCTACATATGTAGACCAGGCTGGCCTTGAACTCACAGAGACCTACCTGCCTCTGCCTCTTGTGTGCTGGGATTAAAGGTGAACACCACCACTGCCCACTTTAAGTCCTTTTTAAAAAGAGTCTTTATTTTTGTGTGGTGTGTGTTTCTGTGTAACTCAAGTCCCAGTCCTCACCTTGTCTGAAATAGGCTTTCTTGTTTGCTATTATGCAATTGAGGCTAACTGGGCCATGAGCTTCTTGAGGCGCCACAGGTGTGCAGCTGTCCTGTCTCCACAGGTGTGCAGGGATTACAAACTCACACTATGAAGTTGGGCATTAGGACAACTTTGAGGATCCAAACCCAGGTCCTTACATTTGAGCAGCAAACGACTTATTCACTGACCAAGCTCTCTGATACTTAAGTCCTTATTTGAAAACATAATGACAGACTTAGTAACCAAGTGGCTTGTATTTATTATAAAAGTCAAGGGCTGGCCATGGTGGTACACACCTTTCATCCAAGCACTCAGAAGGCAAAGGAAGTGGATCTCTGTGAGTTCCAGACCTACACAGAGAGACTGTCTTAAAACAAACAAGTCAGTAGAAACTTCTGTCAGCAGCAAACATTAGACCAGGGAAGCTATGGCCTCCGCAAACTGCTGCCACCTGCTACTGTTAACTGCGTCTACCACCACGATGTCTTTGTTTTTCTTTTGCTTTGTTTTTTGAGATATATATTACATAAATTGTACCCTTTAAACTCTTTTTAAGGTGCAGTGCTCTGGTGTTAGATACATTCGCGTTGTTTTGTGACCCTCACCACTATTCGTGTGTGGTTTTCAACCTGAAGCTATGAACTTACTTTTAAGAGGGGGGGGCGTGTTTCCATCTCTAGCCCCTGGTAACCACCAGCCTACTTTCTGTCCCAAGGAATTAGACTCTTGCAGCTAGTTACTCGTTGACCTTGTAGGGTTTGAGAACTAGGCTCTGAAAACTTCTCTCTTTCCAGCAGGTGGCAGCCTTTTCTTCGTCATAAACTGAGTTCTGTCCCACATACTGGGTATCACTATTTCTCAAACAAATTTCAAAAGAGTTTTCACCAGATTTCATTTTAAAGTAACCCATAGGATCATTAATTTTTGTATCTTTTTAAAAGATGAACTCTAAATTTTTTAAATTATGCGACAGGAGCTAAGAAACCTGCAGAGTGACTGCAGGGTATGCCAGTGTCTAGGGAGAGTAAGGCAGCAGAGTACACTGGCGGACAGATGGGGCTACACGGTGAGTGAGGCCTGCCTGGGTTACATAATAAGAGCCCATCTCAAAACAAATGAACAGCTTGTATACTGGCATGAGGCACGGGGGTGGAGGACTGATAAGCAAGGAGAGACTTCTTGGGAGTCGGCAACAGAGTTTATCGGAATATCCCTATAATACCCTATCATACCATGCCTGCAGCTAAACTAATATTCCGGTCTGTTTGTTTTTAGAGACAATGACTTACTCGGCAGCCTTAGGTGACCTCACTGTGCAGACCAAGCTTGCCTCGATGTCTGGGTGACTGTGTGTATGTGTGCCTACACATGTGCATAGATGTCAGAAGAGGGCTTCAAATTCCTTAGAGGTGGAGTTACGGGCGTTTGGTGGATGCCCTCTTGTAATGCAGGTGCCAGGATCCAAACTCTGCTCCTCATGATTGCTCAGTAAACACTCTTTTAAAAATGATGGTTGTATATTTATGTTCGCACGAGCTTGGATGTGCGTCCATGTGCGCATGCATGTGTGCACATGCACGGTATATGTGTTTCAGTCTGAAAACTTAGGGAGTCAGTTTTCTCTTCTCTTCCCAAAGTGTAATTCTGGGAATTGAATCTAGACCCTTAGCTTTGGCAGCAAGTACCTTTCCCTGTGGAGCCATCGCATCAATCCAGGGATTTTTTTTTTTTTTTTTTTTTTTTTTTTTTTTTAAGTGGGACAGTACTTCCTCTCAAATACTTAATTTAGATATCATTTCTGTATAATAATGCAAAGACAATTACAGGCATGAGCCACCATGCCTGGCATAGTTAACGACTTAATGAGCTTCTATTGAGCTGTTACTTTAAATGCTTTTGTTGACTTTGTTTTGTTTTCAGAGACGAAAACTACATCTAAGCCCTGAGCACTGTAGTAACTTTTATGTGGAACAGTACGGGAAAATGTTTTTCCCAAACTTAACAGCTTATATGAGTTCTGGACCTCTTGTTGCTATGATATTAGCTAGACATAAAGCCATCTCTTACTGGAAGGAACTTCTGGGACCACCTAATAGTTCGGTAGCCAAGGAGACACACCCGGACAGGTAACCTCCCTGGAGTGGCTTAAGGGGTTGAAACCCTTTTAAAGTATGAAAACAAAGACATGGACAAAAAGCCCCAAGCCCCATATCCTTTGAAATGAGGATTTTCCATCATGTGGGAGTTCTCCTAAATGAACTTTTCTCTGGTGCAAGGCAGTAAATTTGACAGTCTCACCTTTTCAGTGCTATTTTTTTCTTTCTTTTTGAAGATTATGTATGTATGTATTTATTACGTATACATTTTCTGTCTGCATGTATGCCTGCAGGCCAGAAGAGGGCACTAGATCTCGTTACAGATGGTTGTGAGCCACCATGTGGTTACTGGAAATTGAACTCAGGACCTCTGGAAGAGCAGTCAATGCTCTTAACCCCTGAGCCATCTCTCCAGCCCGTTCAGTGCTATCTTAATACCAAATGCTATAGAAGGCATCAGAGAATATCTCTTTGATGGCTGGTTAGCCTCGCACTAAACTGTCTCTACAGTAGGATTTATTGATTTTTTTTTTTTTTTTTCTGAGACAGGGTTTCACTGTATTGCCCTAGCTGTCCTGGAACTCACTCTATAGACTAGGATGACCCCGAACTCACAGAGATCTGCCTGCCTCTGACTCCTGAGTGCTGGGATTAAAAGTGTGTACCATCACCATCACTTAAGCCTTTTTTTCTTTTTCTATTTTTTTTTTTTTTTTTTGAGACTAGGTCTTACTCCATAGCCTAAGTGGGCCTGTAATTCACTGTGTAGCCCAGGCTGGCTTTGAATTTGTGATGATCCTCCTGTCTCAGCACACACACACACACACACACACACACACACACACACACACCATGCTGGGATTACAGGCATGAGCTACAATACATGGCTATGAAGTAGGATTCTTGACATTCCATTTTATTTATTTAATGTGTGGGCATGTTTGCCTCGCACATGTGGAGGCCGGAGGACCACTAGTGGGAATCAGCTCTCTCCTTCCACCATGTAGGCCCAGGATTAGATTCAGATCATCAGGCTTGGTGGCAAGTGCCTTTAGCAGCTGAGCCCATTCCTGATCCTGAAGGAGGATTTTTAATGGGAAAATTAGAGATTTTTAGATTTATTATCTGGACATGGTGGTGCATACCTTTAATCTCAGTACTTGAGAAACTGAGGCAGGCAAATTTCTGAGAGTTTAACCTGGTCTACATGGCAAGTTCCAGGCCACCCATGGATATATAGTGAGAACCTGTCTCAAAAAAAAAAAAAAAAAATCCAAAATTTCATCATGATCACTAGTCTAGAAATGAAACAGTTATCACACTTTGATTTCCTATCTCCTTTTCACTAGTCACGAAACACCCTTCTTCACCTAGAAAATCCCCGTTTTTTCACAGTGTATTCTACAGCACGCATAAATGTATTTATTTGACTGTCATCTAAGTAGATGCAAAGCTTAAAATTAGATTAGTGAAAAAATAGAAAAAGGCTGGCAAATGGACTCAGCAAATAAAGTGCTTGCTGCCAAGTGGGCTGACCTGGATTTTAACTCAGGACCCACAAGCTGGAAGGAGAAAACCACTCCCAAAGTAGTCTTCTGACCTCCAGATAATGTAGAGGGAAAGAACATTCTCCTGTAAAGTAAGGCAAGGGTGTCAGAGTGGAAGGACAACATCCTTCATTTGCTTTAGTCTAAGGGCGATTTATGGCACAGATGAGCTGCGGAACGCCCTTCACGGGAGCAACGACTTTCCTGCCTCCGAAAGAGAGATTCGATTCATGTTTCCAGAAGGTGAGTTGCTTTCTTGACTACACCTCCAAATTGCTCACCTCTTAAAGTTTGTTTTTATCTTGAAGATGTGGCTGGCAAGAAAGAATTTTCTCCCAAATGTGCTTTGTTATATTTTCAGGTTATTAGTTATCCGAACTTGAAGTTGGAGGGGCCTGGGATGTGGCTCAGTTTGTAGGGTGCTTGCTGAGCTCCTGTGAAGTCCTGGGTTTGAATCCAGGCACTGAATAAAAGCAG